TGGTGAACTGATGTTGTCCTGGTTCGGCTCTAAAGGTCGTCGTCGTTTCGTTAGTCCGAGTGGCGAGCTTCTTCGGAGATCTTTCATGCTAACTCTGATAATAGATGTAGATCATATTTCACCTTTTTATGACTCTGAGTATTCTATTATTTCAAATAAAATATGATCTAATACGCTTTTCTTAACTTTCAGCAAGCAACACTTAGTGCCAGAAGTTAACCAATTTAATTTGAATTAACAATAAACCTCTTGCAATAAGAGTATGACCTGTATATGCAATATTAAAAATGTATACCTACTTGTTTTTTCAATTTTCTTTTTAATAATAAAATATTCATGCTATGTGTTTAATGAAAACTCTGGATACCCTTAGTGTTTCTGAGGAATTGAAAAATCAGAAGTATTTTAAAATAAAATGATGATAGATGAAGGAATATGTTTTAAAAATACTTAATTAAAAAGTTCAACACTGTTTCGTCGCAGATATCGTCAATAACAGTCTTAAAAGAAAAACTTTATCCGAAACGTCTAAACTCTCTTCTGTGTAAATTTGGTCGCCCTGTTCTTCTATGTAATTACAAAATTTACATAAAAATTACATACTTTCAAACACAACCTTTGTTCTCTAAGTAGGGAAGTTGTCTTTTTTAGTACATTATTAGAATTCAGATAGTATCAACCAAAATCTAAAGACAAATACTCCATTTTTAATTTTCGAGACAATTATTGTTATTGTTTTATTACCACTTTAGCATAGCTTAAGTACATAAGTTGGGGTAAATGAAGTAGCAGGTATTTCTCGTATTTTGCAAATCCTTTCTTATAAACAAACTAGTGACCCGCCCCAGCTTCGCAGGGGTGCAATGCTGATACTAAATATATTTTTGTTTTGTTTAGATTATTATAGAAAAGAGGAAATCTTCAAATGATACCCCCTGAACATACTAAATATACTACAGAATGTCTTTAGGTACAACATTCACNTATTGTTTTTATTTCACTACCCATGCACCCTGTCTTTCGTCGCACCCCATTTCGTCTAATTCACAAGAATTTCTAAAAGTTAGTGCCTTTCTCTTTAACGCCACTAACAGGCTCGTATTCGCCTGTACAACCCGAATATTCCTGGACTTTCCCAAAGAATCCTGTTTCACTATAATTAATTAATTAAACAATGTTGGACTTTTTGTTTAAGTATTTTTAAAACATATTCGTTCATCTGACATCATTTTATTTTAAAATACATTTAATTTTTAAATTTCTGACAAACACTAAGGGTATCCAGATTTTTCAATAAACCCGTGTTAAGAAACATGAATATTTTATTATTATGAAGAAAATTGAAAAAACAAGTTGTAATACACTTTTAGTATTACATTTAGGTAAGTAATAATTTTATTGTAAAATGTTTCTAAATCGAAATTAAACTGGTTAACTTCTTGCGCTAACTGTTGTTGTCTGAAAGTTAAGGAAAGCGTATTAGATTAAGTTTTATTTGGAATAATAGATTAATCAGAGCCAAAAAAAGGTGAAATGAAGTCTACATCTAACATCAGAGTTAGAATGATCTCTGAAGAAGTTCACCACTCGGATTAACAAAACGTTAAGAAGTAACTCCTTCCGACGACGGCCTTTAGAGCCGAACCAGGACAACGCGAGTTCACCAAGTGGTCGCGAAAGCCTTTACTAATTTGTGAAATAAATTTATTTGGTTGTATGAAACCACTCAAAATTTATTTCATCCTTTTTTGGTCTTGATTGTTCTATTATCACTGTAAGGGTGAAGAAATGATATTTGATTATTTCAAATGGTATCACTTCTTATTATTTAATTTACGTAATGTGTATTATTCCAAGTATGTTGCAATCATTAGTAGTAGTTAGTAGCTCAGAGATTTCATATCTGTAAAACGAAACAAAATTATTAGTCATTTTTGCTAATGCTTTGGTTTTTATTGCTTTTAGAAAAATCACACAATTTGCATTTGACTTACCTGGACAATCGTCGTATCTAACGAATTGGTAGTCTGCAAAAAATATTGAGATTTCACTTTAGTATTGTCATTACTAATAGTAGGTATTTCATTTTTTTGTTTCCTTTAAAAGCACATTACCTTCCGGATGTTCCCTTTACTTTGCTTTTATTTTACTACTCACCGTTTCCAGTCAAACATCTGTATCGGTTCATGTAACACATATTTGTGAAAAGCACTAGAGCGTCGGTGTTCATATTAACGCCACAAACAACTCTGCCACCAGGCGAACATGTAGCACAATTCTGGGCTTCCCCGCAGCTCCAGGACAGAGCCACGAAAGCGACTTAAGTAAAATAAAACGAAATTATTGTCGTTGCAGTTTCGTTAGGAACAAGAAACAAAAATACAATGTAAAATAACTGCCTTACCTAAAAGTAACGTTGAAATGGTTTTCATTTTATCTGTTGGTAAGAATAGATTTGTAAGAGTGACCAAGGTTTACCTGCTTATATATACCAATTGAAGTACTTCAGGCTACTCTGTTCAGGTATTAAAAATATTGATAATTTTAAATGCGTATAGAGTGTCCACACGATTTTACAAGCCAAATCCGTGTTTTTATCACACACATGGGTTTGCAATGTTTTGAACTGATAATAAATACAATAGCCACTTGTCCAGAAAATTAGAAATGAAGTGTTTCAATTTCAATTGGACTGGATAACATCCTAAATATCCCAAAGAAAAGACATTGTAAGTTACATGGTAGAGTTAAAATTCATTTGAAGGAAGCCCGGAAGACCCTGTTTTCGACATGTCACGGTAACTTTCTCCAAAATCTTTTAAACATGCATGGTGGATTTGAAACCTTTGATGTATACTATTATCTTTCACCGAAATTAATTTATTACGTAGTTAATAATAATAATTAGTGTCATTATCTTATTTGTTTGAATGCTATCTATTATTAATAAAAGCTGAAAATGGAATTTTTTCTTGATTGTTATTAATGTGTTATCAGTTAAGTATTTTATAAAAATGCCACGTGTAAGCAATATGAATGTATGATTAGTGGGTTTTAGGAGAACTGTCTCCCTCGTTAATGCCCTTAATACATATCAAAAATCATCAACAACTGCATAAAATTACATTTTCTATCGATCTTATTATTTTTTCTGGATATAGGGTGTTGTTTGTCCTTTTCTGTATCCTGGCAATGAACGTACGAAGTTTCATGATACGTTTTACCGATGGCTTTGCTCACATTGAAGTCCAAAGTATACGTGTTAAAGATCATCGACGACCACATAAAACTAATTTTTTCTTTCCCTCGGGAACAGAATTTCTTTCTGGACAAAAGGTATCCTATGTTCGTTTTTGTACACCCCACAATGTGTGTACAAAATTTCATGATAGCTTATTCCTTTCGGACGCGTCCTGAATAAATAACTACCAGCGACAGAGGACACTGAAGTGACTCTTAACCCAAATTCTTATGCACAGGGCGTCACTAGTTCTTCTACAAAGAAATGCACAAGCATTTGCATAAACTGAGGATGAATTCTATACTAATTCAGCACGATTTACGGTTTTTCTTAATTCAAAAATTGATCGGAGTCTTCACCGCAATTCCTACGCTTTCAATTGGATTTAATTTAATTAGAGATTTAAGGCGTAACAGCGCCTACCTTCCACCAATGTCTTTAGTAATGGGAGCAATTAATGGGGTCAATAGATTTCTGACAGAAAAAGATTCTCCCTGAATGCCAACAATGAACCACTAGATAAATAGACAATTGTATACTAATTAACTCTTCTATAGTCATATTTATTAACAAAAGATGGCATACTTCCAAATTAGACAGTGCACTTCTGACCAAGACCAAGACGGTCTTTATATTAGCAAGACCAATGTCAACAAAAGAACAGGACCAAGACTAAAACCAAAACTGGGACAGTGTTGGGCTAATCCCTAAATTGTCTGGGAAAGTAAGAAATGCCAAAAGTAAGATTTTCAAGAATTTTGATTCCCTGAAATGCTAGTTTAATATTCACCATAGGAAATATACTTAGACGTATGTTTACGAAGTAGGAATGCGATTAGAGATAATGGTTTCGATAAGGTAACGTTCGGAGAAACGCGCCGGTGCCTGGATAACTCCTGTTGTGGAACTCTATAAACTTTAGCGGAAAGGATTCCTTCCAATTTATCGAATTGCACCTGGAACAACTCCAGGTCGTATGCGATTTTACAGGAAACGCAAGAACCGACAACGTTAGCTATTTATCTTACGTCGAGTTCCAAATAACTTGCTTACAGAGTAGCCTAATTTGTCTCATCATCTTGCTGGTTTGAATGCTATATATATACTAAAAAACTGAAAATGGTTCTGCCCACTTCTAATCAGTGACTGTTATTATCATGTGTTATCAGTTAAGTGTCATGTGTACGTTTTATCTGCTGGTGCAACATATATATAACAGGTTGCATTTTGCGTTAAAGCCACAAACAGGCTCGTGTTCGTCTGTACAACGCGAACATTCCTGGGCATTCCCAAAGAATTCTGTTTCACTATAGCTTCAGTATATAGCCAAGAATTACCCTACTTAGATGTAACGCCAAAATCGTCTTCATATTATTTGATTGTAAGAGAGGATTTACAAAATACGAAACACCTGCTACTTCATTTGCTCCATTTTATATACTTAAGGTATCATAAGCTGGTAATAAAATAATAAGAGTTGTCTCGAAGATTAAAAATGGAGTATTTGTCTTTAGGTTTTGATTGCTGATATCTTAATTCTAATAAGACACTAAAAAAAAACACAACGTGTAATTATACAACACGCTACTGAAGTGAAACTTCTTTAAACACACAAACATACCGGGATAGGGGTTATGGAATTGGTTTAATGGTATTATTTGTACATTATGAATTTAAATTTTAGACTATACATTCAGAGTTGCCTATAACGAATGTTGAATTGAAGCGCGCTCACGGCTCAAGCGATCCCACTACGAACTCGACTACGTGGCCGAGTAGAGGGGGGACATCCGTTGCACGATTTCGTTACATAGCAACTCGCATGAAACGAACTTAAAAACACTTCGCGATTTATAGAAGGCTGGTAGTGTTTGAAAGTGCGCAATTGTTATATGTAACGTTTTGCCATTTCTATCTACATGGACAAACAGGGCGAACGAATTTATAGAGAAGAGAGTTTAGACGTTTCTGATAATGTTTTTGCTTATCAGACTGTTATGGGGAATATTTTTGGACCCTTTATGTAAGTATTTTCAAAATATAATCATTCATTTGACATCATATTATTTTAAATACCTGAGAAACACTAAGGGTATCAAGAGTTTTCATTAAACACGTGTTAAAAAGTAAACAATGAAAATGGCGAATATTTTATTATGAAGAAAATTAAAAAAGCAAATAGGTAAACATTTTTAGTTTTACATATATGTAGGTAACAATTTTATTGTACAATGTTTGTAAATCGAAATTAAACTGGTTAAATTCTTGCCCTAACCGTTGCTCGCTGAAAGTTAACAACAGCGTATTAGATCAAGTTTTATTTAAAACAATAGAATAATAAGAACCACAATGTGAAACTTCTGAAAAGAAATGCACAAGCATTTGCATAAATTGAGGATAAATTCTATACTAATTCGGCACGATTTACGGTTTTTCTTAATTCAAAAATTGATCGGAGTCTTCACCGCAATTCCTACGCTTTCAATTGGATTTAATTTAATTAGAGGTTTAAGGCGTAACAGCGCCTACCCTCCGCCAATGTCTTTAATGGAGTCAATGGATTTCTGGCAGAAAAAGATTCTCCCTGAATGCCAACAATGAACCACTAGATAAATAGACAATTGTATACTAATTAACTCTTCTATAGTTATATTTATTAACAAAAGATAGCATGCTTCCAAATTAGACAGTGCACTTCTGACCAATACCAAGACGGACTTTATATTAGCAAGACCAATGTCAACAAAAGAACAGGACCAAGACTAAAATCAAAACTGGGACAGTGTTGGAGTAATCCCTAAATTGTCTGGGAAAGTAAGAAATGCCAAAAGTAACATTTACAAGAATTTCGATTCCCTGAAATGCTAGTTTAATATTCACCATAGGAAATATACTTAGACGTATGCTTACGAAGTAGGAATGCGATTGGAGATAATGGTTTCGATAACGTAACGTTCGGAGAAACGCGACGGTGCCAGGATAACTCCTGCTGTGGAACTCTATAAACTTTAGCGGAAAGGATTCCTTCCAATTTATCGAATTGCACCTGGAACAACTCCAGGTCGTATGCGATTTCACAGGAAACGCAAGAACCGACAACGTTAGCTATTTATCTTACGTCGAGTTCCAAATAACTTGCTTACAGAGTAGCCTACAGAAAATCGGGTGTGTAAGCTCACTGTTGTGCACTGCTTAGTATATAGTTCGAGGAAAACTTCACCTGCCATCATGTTATTTGCATTGGAATCGGCGCTCAGACCCGTGTTCGTATCTACGTGTATTACAAACCGGATATTTACCGCTGCAAAGTTTCTTCCTTATTGAATTTTTCTTCTTGTACTGTTCTGTTTTTCTTTAGAGGCGTTTTAAACCCCATATCGATGGTCGATAAACAATAGAAAATTAGATACCTAACTTTTAGAGAAAGTACACTCAAATTTAATGAACAAAACAAATGAGAAATTCGAGGCATTAAACAAAAGCAAGAAGAGCCTAATACAACTGCAGGTTATATAAAACAATTGACGCTGTTCGCTTTTGTTTTTTCCCGTTAAACAAATTACAAACTAGAGTTATCTTTATGTATAGCGCTGGCCGCATTTCTCTGGTGGCCCGAACAATAGCTGAGTATCTGCTCTTGCAATTTGTCAGTATTCATTGGCATTCAGAGTTGGAGAATTGAAATCAATTTCTTGCATTACTGGTTCCCACGAATGCATCGTTGTGTTAAGTAAGATGAAGTTTCTGAATGACACAAATGGAATCTTGTTCCAGATTCAAATCAATCACTAACGATGGCTGCTGTAAGCTTCGCGGGCTTCTAATAACCAACTGTCATCGTCATAAGGAGAAGAGCGAGGCATTTGGGAGAAGTAATTAGTCAATGTTGTTAGCCTTCTAACACCAAGTGCAATCTGAGTGAACGTGCAATTAATTTTCATTTTACTTCCCCGCAAATCTCGATTCTAACAGGTGAGTTCATCCATAATTCTGTCATCCAGGTAAATTAAACCGTTTCATCTGAATCATTACAGAATTTACACCTTATGATATATGTATTGCAGATTTTTTATATTGTAGCGAGCACGAGCGTGTTTGTGTGCGATCGAGCACACGTGTGCGTGAACAGCTTATCGATTCGCCGAGTAGCCGCGGGCGCCTTTCTTCATGTGCGCCGTATTTGTAAATGTGTGTGTCGTACCTGCGTTCTGGGAAAGCAGTTAAACAATTCTAGGAAAAAATAAATTATCCGGATGTTTCCAAAAGGTTCTAGAAAGTAAACAAAAGAGTATTTAAAGGAACAGACGGTCGCCGAAAGAGAAGAAATAAATTGACAGTTGCAGAAGTGAATCCAGAAATAAATTGACAGTGGTAGCAGTGAAATAAATATAAATAAATGGAATAACTCATAACCTAAATTACTATTATATTATTGTTTTTATTTCACTACCCATGCACCCTGTCTTTCGTCGCACCCCATTTCGTCTAATTCACAAGAATTTCTAAAAGTTAGTGCCTTTCTCTTTAACGCCACTAACAGGCTCGTATTCGCCTGTACAACCCGAATATTCCTGGACTTTCCCAAAGAATCCTGTTTCACTATNCCGAAATCGCCTTTATATCATTTGTTTATAAGAGAGGATTTACAAAATATGAAATACCAGCTAATTCATTTACCCCAATTCATGTGTTTAAGGTAGATTAAACTGGTAACAAAATAAATACAAGAGTTGTCTCGAAGATTAAAAATGGTGTATTTGTCTATAGACTTTGATTGATAATATCTTAATTCTAATAAGATACTAAAAATGAAAACTTCGCTAGTTACAGAGCGAATGTTGTGTTTGAAAGTGGACAATTGTCATGTAACGTTTTCTAATTTGTATCTAGATAGACAAACAGGGCGAACAAATTTACACAGAAGAGATATTAGACGTTTCTGATAAGGTTTTTCCTTATTAGACTGTCATTGACGATATTTGCCAAAAAACAATTTTCGTTCATTTGTCATTTTATTTTAAAATACTTATGATTTTAAAATTCCTCAGAAACATTAAGGGTACCTATCCAGATTTTTCAATAAACACGTGTTATAAAGTAAACAATGAATAACATGAATATTTTATTATTATTAAGACAATTAAAAAAACAAGAAGGTATCCATTTTTAGTATTGCATATGCAGGTCATAGTTTTATTGTAAGAGGTTTGTAAATCCAAATTAAACTGTTGCACTAACCGTTGCTTGCTGAAAGTTAAGAAAAGCGTATTAGATCAAGCTTTATTTGAAATAATAGAATAATCAGAGCCATAAAAAGGTGAAACGGCCGTTAGAGCCGAACCACGATAACACCAGTTCACCAAGTGGTCGCGAATGCCTTTACTAATTTGTGAAATAAACTTATTCGGTTGTATAAAACCACTCAAAATTTTTTTCACCCTTTTTTGGTTTTGATTTAAATTTATTCCGTTGCATTAATGTTTAGCTTTTATCGTTTTTAAAGAAGTCACACAATTTGCATTCCGACTTACCTGGACAAGTGTCATATCTGACGTATCTGTAGTCTGCAAAAAATGTTGAGATTTCACTTTAGTATTGTCATTGCAAAAAAACTTTTTTAAGAGATAGTATTTCATTTTTTGGTTACTCTTCAAAGCACATTACCTTCGCTTTGCTTTGTTTTTATTTTACTACTCACCTTCTCCAGTCGCACAGTTGTATCGGTCCATCCAACATTGATTTGTGAAAAGCACTAAAGCGCCGGTGTTCATATTAACGCCACAAACAGGTCTGCCACCAGACGAACATGTACCACAATTCTGGGCTTCCCCGCAGCTCCAGGATAGAGCCATTAAAGCGACTTGAGTAAAATAAAACGAAGTTATTGTCGTTGCAGTTTTGTTAGGTGCAAGAAACAAAAATTAAAAGAAAAATAACTGCCTTACCTAAAAGTAACGTTGCAATAGCTTTCATTTTATCTGTTGGTAAGAAGAGTTTTTTGTGTGACAGAGATTTACGTGCTTATATATACCAATTTAGGTACTTCAGGCTTTAAACTGATAAGAACAACAATAGCGCTTTGTCTTTAGACTTAAAATTTAATTGTTTCTATTTCAATTTGGTTCGATAACATTTTGAATGCTTCCAAGAAAAAGAACATAGAAACAGAAAAACAATAGCTGTTGACTAGTTTTTCATTAAACACGTGTTAAAAAGTCATCATCATGAGATCGTCAGCCCTAAGACTGGTTGGACACGCACCTTCACTTCTTCCTATCCTGAGGTAATCTTCACATTTCCCTAAAACTGGGTCTACCTCAACTCCTCTTAACTCCTGTTTCTACTTCTAATATGTCTCTAACCAGCTGTTCACGCCTGAGAAAGTGTCCTGCTAATCTATTTTGTCTGATCCTTATTGACTTCCATAGTGGTCTGTGTTCTCCTATTCTATCTTTCTAAATTTCCTTCGGTATCCTCAGCATTCGCCTATAACACCACGTTTCGAACGCTTCTAACCTTTTCTTTTCCGCCGCCCCCACTGTCCACGTTTCGCACCCGTACAATGCCGTGCTCCAAACAAACACCTTTAACAACCTTTTTCGAATTTCTAAATTAACCGTTCGCGAGCATAGAAGTGACTTATTTTAACTGAAAGTAACTCGACCCTGCGCTATCTTCGGATTTATATCTCTCCTGATTCTTCCGTCCTTAGTTATCTGACTTCCTAGATACCGAAAATCAGCCACTTCTAATTTTTCGTCTCCGATCTCTATATTCACCCTTTCCCTACGTTTTCTTCCCCTATACACCAATAGTTTTGATTTATTTTTATTTATTTTCTTATGTTACTGTTTCCGCAATATCATTTCCATTTTACTTAAGGCTATCTCTAACATGCCTTGCTATAGGGTTGTTCGGAAAGTCATTTCGTTTTTTCCCGACAGAGGATTTAATTGTATTCTTTTGCACCCAACTTCACATTTAAGCCGTATAATTTTTATATGTTTTGAGAGCTCATATAGCAAGGCTTGTGTGTGAAAAATTCCAATTAATTCTACGCAGTAGTTTTTGGTTGGTGCCCTTTTAAATATGGAGAGCGATAAGCAGCATTTTCGACATATCTTACTGTTTTACTACAGAAAGGGTAAAAATGCTGTTCAAGCCAGAAAGAAATTGACTGATGTGTATGGAGAAGGTGTGTTGACAGTACGCCAGTGCCAGAACTGGTTCGCTAAATTTCGATCCGGCAATTTTGATGTCGAAGATGCACCACGTTCGGGAAGGCCGGTTGAAGCTGATAAAGACGCGATAAAGGCATTAGTTGATGTGAACCGGCGAATAACAACACGTGAGATCGGATTGAGGTTAAATTTATCAAATTCAACAGTTTATGACCACTTGAAAGGCCTGGGATTATCCTCGAAGCTCGATGTATGGGTTCCCCATGTTCTCACAGAGAGAAATCTGTGTCGCCGCATTGACGTCTGCGATTCGCTTCTCAAACGTCACGAAAATGATCCGTTTTTGAAGCGCATCATCACTGGGGACGAAAAATGGGTTGTATACAACAACGTCAAACGCAAGAGGTCATGGAGCAAAAAAGATGAACCGGCTCAAACCATTTCCAAAGCCGATATTCACCAAAAAAAGGTGATGCTGTCTGTTTGGTGGGATTTTAAAGGAATCGTTTTTTTTTAGCTTTTACCGGATAACACAACGATTAATTCGGAAGTCTACTGTCATCAGCTGGACAAACTGAATGATGCACTTCAACAGAAAAGGTCAGAACTAATCAACAGGAAAGGTGTAGTGTTTCACCAAGACAACGCGAGACCTCACACAAGTTTGGTCACTCGCCAAAAGCTTTTACAGCTTGAATGGGATACAATGCTACACCCACCATATTCTCCAGACCTGGCACCATCGGATTATTATTTGTTCCGGTCACTCCAAAATTTTTTAGACGGTAAAACCTTCACCTCAAATGAGGAGGTCAAAAACCTCCTCGATCAGTTTTTTGCCAGCAAAGACCAAAAATTTTATGAGCGTGGAATTATGCTACTACCAGAAAGATGGCAAAAGGTGTTGGACCAGAACGGTCAATATATAATTTAATAAAGTATTTGTTTATTATACGAAAACTATCTTTCATTTCCACAAAAAAAAACGAAATGACTTTCCGAACAACCCTATAGATGCTGATATAAGCATTTAGTCTTTTGCCCCTGTGTATCTATCCCTACAGTTGTCCTGTCGCAAATGATGCATAGATGCATAGATTAAAAAGTAGCGGTGACAATCCATTTCGTCCAATTCACAAGCATTTTAGGAAAGTTACTCTATTGCCTGTTCCGTTAATGCCACAAACAGGTTCGTATTCGTCCGTACAACCCGAACATTCCTGTGCTTTCCCAATAAATCCTCTTTCACTATATATATATAGGAATAACCAAGAATGCGACTTGTCTTGTTATTCCTATTCTGTTAAGTACAATCAACGAAAAAACGTAATAAAAAAATACCTTGCTTAAACGCAACACTGAAATCGTCTTCATGTTGTTTTTTTACAAAGCACTACATACCAGCTACTTCATTTACCCCAATTTATGTATATAAGACATGTTAAACTGGTAATAAAATAATAACAAGATACTAAAAACAAAAACTTCGCTAGCTACAGAACGAAGGTTGTGTTTGAAAGTGCGCAATTGTTATGTAACGTTTTGTAATTTAAATCTACATTGAAAAACAGGGCGAACAAATTAGCATAGAAGAAAGTTTAGACGTTTCTGATAGTTTTTGCTTATTAGACTGTCACTGACGATATTTGCCAGTAAAAAATGTTGGAATTTTTATTTAAGTATTTTTAAAGCATTTTCGTTCATTTGTCATCATTTTATTTTAAAACACTTTTGATTTTTAAATTCTTCAGAAACACTAAGGGTGTCCAGATTTTTCATTAAACACGTGTT